CTATTCAAGCCTTGAAATTGACGTAGCGCGAGAATTCTGGTCTTCTAGCGACAGACTCGCCGTTTTCAAACTCAACATTAGTTATAAATTGGCGCATTTATGTGTAAGATATACGTAGCATAATTATACTCACATAATTAAGAAAAAACATATGCACATAAAAGTGCATAATTTACTTTTGTTGCATGCATAATTAATACGTAGCATAAAATCACCGTCCCTAGCCTGACTTCTAATAAAAGAAATTACGTAATAAACGACACTCTCCTTACTATTCTACGTATCAATCTGCGAACGTTATCTGGCGTCGATTTTGTTTAAATAGACAATAATTAAAAAAAAAAGTAACGATCAGCAAATTTCATACATCTAAGAATCGGGAATCTATTAAATACTAGCTTGCCATTTTACAAAAAGTTCTATTATTGTGATTTGCAGATCATGAAACCAGGCGGTTTTCCGATTCTAATAGAATCTTAAAGATTTCGGATACGTTATAAAGTATAAATGGTCGAATTTATATTACTAGACAATCTAGAATCTCAGAAATTTTCTTTCATCAAAAAATCATGGGGTCACACTTTTTTGTAAACCGCAATAACCATTTTTGAATTCTATTAGTCTCTAGAATTTGAAATAATTTGATTAATGAAAATAATCCGAGTATTATCAGTTAACTTTACTCAAAATTTTGTAGAAAAAGAAAACCGATCAACCAACTATTATGATCTAGTATACGAACGGATATCATGGTGTCATTCCTGGAATTCACTTCTTAAAAGAATTCAAGAAACGTGTTGGTTATAGTATAAAAAGCTATAACTTACCTGTATAAGCGCAAAATAACGCCCAGGAGCGTCATTTTGAACAATGGCACGATTTAAGCCAAAATTCAAAATCATACCCCTCGCGTTATTTCACGTTTATACGGTATGTGACTTTGGCAGATATTATAGGCGTCGTGTGAATGACTTATCAAAAAGGTTTATTAAGGCTTTATCGAAAGAGGCAATACGGTTACTAATGTATGAAGACATTAATAGTTTGTCACTTGAGTTAATTGTGTATGAGGCACAATTCTATTTATTGATTGAGACGGAATCTTGAGACTCAAGTCTAAGTTTATCAAGGTCAATTACAAAGGATATTTTTATACATGTTTTGAGAACTAATATATACAACACGATAAATATTTCTAGTTGATACTAAGTCTATCAAACAATAATTTAATAATATATTCGGGTTTGTGTCAATATCCCGAAGATACTAAATTCCAATACACTAAATCCTGAAAGATCAAAATCCCGAAAGTATAATATCCTGAAAGATCATAATCCACGATCCACAATTCCGAAAAAATATAATCCTGAAGGGTTATAATTCTGAAAGGTCATTTTAATCCTGAAAAGTTATAATCCCGGAAGATAATTGTGATTTTTTAAGGCTATAACCTTCCGGGATTATGACTTTTCAGGATTATGACCTTTCGGGATTATGTTCTTTCGGGATTGTGATTTTTCAGGATCGTAATCTTTCAGGATCATGATCTTTCAGGATATTATACTTTCGGGATTTTGATCTTTCAGGATTTAGTGTATCGGAATTTAGTATCTTCGGGATATTGACAAACCGAATATATTCAGTATGGGAGCGAATCTATACATGTGAAATAGAATGAAATACTATAATACGATATAGGTTCACATGTGAGCAGTGTTTAAAATTCAGTGTTATCATGGTTCATGCAAGAGCATTGATATTTAAAAATCTTATTTAAGAACATTTTATTACTTTGAAATGTTTTCAATATTTAATATAATTCATTCTAATAAACTAGTGTTCTGAAAGGGTCGTTTAGGTTGAGTTTAGAGTCGAACCCAAGCCCTACTCGAGCAAATTGGGGTGTATTTTGACATTTACCCGACAACCACTTCCCGACAACTATTTTCCCGGCAAATATTTCCCGACATAACCATTCTCCCGACAACCATTTCTTCGACAACCATTTCCCCATTTCCCAACATGACGTGATTGTTGAGAAATGGTCATGCCGGGGAAATGATTGTCGGTGAAAATGGTCATGCGGGAAAATGGCTATGTCGGTGAAATAATTGTCGGGAAAATTGTCGTCGGGGAAGTGATTGTCGGGTAATTGTCGGTAAACCTTATTTTGATATCTATAGATTTGTATTATGTACTATATAATTCAGTTATTTAAAATTTATTTTGTAATGATACAATAATTTAAATAATTTGACTCAAGCTGGTGTAAAAAGTCTTAGAATTGGATTTTAATTTAGGTTATCCGAATTAATTCAACCCTTTAGGAGAACATTGAGAACACTAATAATTTAAATTAAGCTCTTTTGAGAACATAATTTTAATTTTGAGTTTTAAACACTGCAAGTGAATCTCAGGATCAACAGATTATGTATGGAACATCTTCACATTACTTCATATTCTCAAGAATGATATGATCTGATGGACATAGATGGCCATAAAGTCAGGTGATAGAATTCTATGTAACAATTGGAATTGAAATTTTATGAGAAATCATCAGATTTTATTATTTTACATTTGAGGTTTAGAATTTACTAACGGCTATAGTGCAGTGATGGCAAATGACCTGGTCATTTGCAAAATTTTCAAATGACCTCAAATGACTCGAAATGACCGGTCATTATCGGTCATCTCAATTTTGGGTCATTTGGAAATGACTCGTGACCAAATGACCGGGTTAGGAGGTATTGTATACTCGGGCCCAAGCTCAATAAAATTTATATGCCCGACCCAACCCATGAAGGGTAAATGATGCGGTCGTTTGGTCGAAATTTAAATGACCCAAATTATCAAATCATGACAAGATCATTAAGCTCATTTACGTAGCTCATTTGCATATAAAATAATTTTATTGTACGGGTCTTATGTGACAACCCGTGCTTTTTTCATTTACTTATTGGCACGGGATTGTTACGTCAGACACCGTACAATAACTATAATTTATGGCTTTTCCATAATTGACAAGTAGAATATAATCCTGATTAAGAAATCCGCTCATTAATATATACAAATGTAATTTTTAAAATAAAACATATATATTAAGAATTAAACAACACGATAAAGACTATTATATTTTGTCTTTAAACAAGAAAGCAAGTAAAACTTGATTAAAAGATGTGGAAAAAATCTTTGCAAATCTGGAAAATCTGGCTAACGTTAAGCACTCTATCTTTTACTCTTGCTCAGCTAGAAAAACAAAGTGACAAACCTTTTCTTACTCCTCAAGATACTTTATTTGGGCCTAGAATTGAAGGCACTTCAGTCGATGAACAAGGCAATATTTTTGCTACCAATTTTCGAAGTGAAACTTTTGCTATTGGTCAAATTTTTCCTCCACAAGAGAATTTTTTTTTCTCCAATGACAACAATTCTTTCTTTAATGGAATAAAGTTTTTAAAGTTAGCTGAGAAAGAAAAAATCAGCATTAAGTCAGCATTTTTAGCAACAGACAAGAAAAGATCCGAAATTACCAAAGTTACATTATTTCAAGATAATAACGTTAAACAAACTACGGTTTGTAAAGATGATTCTTTTGTTATGCCGAATGATCTGACTATATCTTATAGTTCAGGGAGAATTTATATCTCCGGTCAAAACTATACCAATAATACCCAAAAAGGGGATGGAGGGCTCTGGCTTTGTGAGCCTGATGGCCAGGTAAGCACATTCAACTTTGCTAAAAAAAATTTTTTTTCAACTTGATAACGTTTTCTTGTCTTTTTGTTATTGATAAGGCTAAACAACTATTATCACTTGGTCGCACTAATGGCATTGAGCTTTCTCCCGATGAAAAGTTTTTATATCTTTCGGAAGCTTTTAATCAAAACTTTGTACCTATCTCGAATAAGATTTGGAGGTTTTCGGTAAATGCGACTAATGGTCAAATATCAAATCAAGAACTTTTTATTGATTTTGCCCAACTAGATTCTAGCCAACGTGTAGATATAGATGGGATGAGATGCGATATGGAAGGTAACTTATGGGTAACTCGAAATGGGGGAGGTAAAGTTTTAAAGTTTTCTGTAGATAAGGAATTACTATTAGAGCTAAACACCGAACAAACAATACATCCAGCTAATATAGAGTTTGGCGGGAAAAATGGTACAACCTTATTTATTGTAGGTAAATGCAAAGATGACGAAAATAAAGGTTGTGTTGACGTTTTTGAAAATAGTGTACCAGGGAGATCTTTTAGTTTTCTAAGATGTGCTTAAAAAATATCTTTTAATAAAGTCTTATTTTAGAGGGTCAAAGGAGCTAATTTTTGGCTTAATATTCAGAATAAACTAGTCAATGTGGGTTTTAGGATTTGAACTAAAAAAAAGATTTAATAAAACCTCACAGGGGCATGATTTTTAATAATGGCCCGAATTAAGCTTAATTTAGGCCAAAATTCGAACTATGTCCCTGTGCGTTATTTCGCAGTCATCTTTTAGAGGGTTTTAACATGATAATTCCTCTCAAGATAATAGTTGCCTAATTGAAAATACCTTATTGTATCATCATAATTGTTTCCATTTCGGCTTGAACTCACTTCAGATTCAAATGTGCTCATTCGTCGGTTTCAAACGACTATTCAGGGTTCGTTTTAACCCACTTCGGGGTCAAATACCGTAAACTGCCATATAAAAGACCCGGGTCTCTTACACCCCACCAATATTAATACCTAATATAAGATCCCTCGGGTCTAGTACATAGTGGAGAGTTTGTACCATTAGAAGGAAATTTTTAAAAAGCTCATTTAAAAAAAAACCGCATTTGGTTATTGTAGATTTTGAGATTCACACCCGGGTCTAGTACATAGGGAGTCTGATCTCTGAGGATAGGCAACAAAAATTCAGCTGATCGGCCCAAATTTAGGGTCAGAATAAGCCGGAGCTTGACCGGCATTAAGCAATAATACTTGCTAACCATACTAGCACTATACTATAGCAAAATTAGTAGCTGAGCAATTTTACTTAATATATAGGCTGCCAGTTAATTAGTAAAAATTTGGGAGAATTTGGAAAAATTTATCAAATCCGGCCCATTCCGACCCTAAATTCGGGCCGATCTGCTGAATTTTGGTTGCGCTACTAATCTATTCGATAAAAATGCCAAGATAAATTCTGCAAAATTCTGCGATTTGGCCAGAATTACATCAAGTCGGCCGGAATTACAACTCAAATTTCAGCCAAAATTTTAAAAATTAATGTTGCCCGAAATTAAAAATGACCCTAGGGTTGTAATAACTTACCTGAAAATGTAACTTTAAGTTACAAAATATATCATAGTAAAGCAGATCAGAATATATAGGACTAGCAATGCCAATCTAAAAAATTTCACAGATCACATAATCATATGATCATACAAATTTAATGATTGATTTAAACCTAAAATTACTGTTGAGCCCTCGTTAGTTTAGGGTTAGGGTCAAGGTAAACTAATTAAATATTTTTTTATTTAGCTTTAGTAAAAAAAAAATGCTGTAATGGAGGCATTAGCCGTAGCGAAAGCATCAACTATCCTTTGCAAAGCAAAGGATAACGGAAAAGTACATTCTTGAATAGAAGTTCACTTGATCTGCGAAATTTTTTAGACTGGCATTTTAAATACTGTTTTATTAATGGATGAAATTTTTACGCATTAGGTAACTCATTTTTAAATGACTTACGTAAGTTACACAACCCTAAACGTAAATGAATGAAGAAAATCGCCCCTTGACACATCGGTATCGCTAATTTAATTTAAGCTTGTTTTCTTTTATTTTATTTAAATTAGGCCGTCCTCAAGCACCTCCTCAATGTAATTGGCTAGTGATTGAGATGACGCTCAAACGTTATAATCAAACTAGGAAGATAATCAAAAATGCCCAACAAAAATTTGACCGAATTAATTGATGGTTTCAATAACCTAAATTTCGCTAATTGTCAAAAATTAGCAGATACCAACGATCCAGACAGAATTTACAGATTACGAATATAGAATTAAAGCATTCAGCATTATCAAAGTCGGCAGAAATGAATAATTCTAGGAATTGGCGTCGAAATCGATAAGTGATGGGTGCCGCACGTGATTCAAAAAAAGGATATATTGGGCAGTGTCATAAATCTGGCCGGATTTCGAAAAATTCCGAGGCCAAGATAAAATTTCGACCCATTTCCGCAAACTTCCGAAATACATTTCATTCACATTAATTTAGTATTTAGTAGGTGAGTATAAAGAACATTTAATAATTTTACTACATAAAAACAGCAAAATAAGTTCACAAAACAAGAACATAAATACTTATTTACCATTACTACAATCGTTTCATTCGCATTAATCATTTCATTTAGTGTATGAGTATAAAGAACATTTAATATTAGAAATGAAATATTTATTTACCATTACATACAAATCATTTCATTTGCATTAATTTAGCCAGAGTATTGAAATAAGAGCAGCAAAACAAATTCAAAAACAACATAAATACTTATTTACCATTGTATACATTCGCATTAATTTAGTTAGTGAGTATAAAGAACATTTAATAAATTTCGAAATAAAAACAAACCAAGTTTACAAACAAGAACATAAGTACTTGTTTACTATTACAGTCAGAGAATTTACCAAATTAAGAAATCACGTTCTAGAATGATCTACAAACGGATCTCTAAATTTGATTGGCTCTTACGTGCCTTTTGCCCCTCAAACATCGTTACATTTTAAAAAAAAATTTTTTAATAACTATTCGAGTTTAATAACCTTT